CGTTGTCTGACCATGTTGAGACAGCGCGCGCCATTACGATGTCATTTCCAACATGCGTGCATTAAATTATGATTACCTACCTCAATCAAAATCAGAAGCCTTACGTTAATTAATTAGTGCATATAGTAAAGCGCACCGCACTCGTAAATGTCATCCGTCGGTCGTAAATTACGTCGTGAAACCACCAACATGAGAAAATCACCATTTTATTATTTGATCGTAATTAAACTGCAATGTTTTATTATCCATTTGTTTGGAGAGTTTACAGCGCAATGGGCCATACTTGGTACGCGGCAGTTATTATTAACTATTGTACCATTATAAAGGCTTATTTTGTTACGATTCGATCTTTTCTCGAGCTTTCATCTTCGAATGCGCGTATAAATTAAAGCCGTTATTTATTTCTTAAGGGGTTTGTCATGTCGGAGAGTTAGCCTTATGCAGGAATAATATTACAAGTAGTATAGTATCCCCTTAGAATTGGAAATGTCTCCGGTCGCACGTTTCGTTTAACAAATAATAACGCAGATAACTGTTTCGTTTATTTATTATGATGCGTCCTCGCGACTTATTTGGATGCAGCTATTCTTCGGCGCCATGTGCGCACAAAAGCTGCAAAGCGCCCGTCAAATTCAATTTGTTTCGTCGAGATAACACTCAAAGCGTCGCAAATCGGCGAGTTTAACGCTCGTATACTGCAGAAACCACCAGCGGGATTCGTGAAATGTGTCAGAATGAAATTGTCACGCACCAATTAAAATTAAAATTAAATCATTAATTGCTACTTCCTCACGTGTCGCTACTAATTATTTTAAAGAGCTGCTGTGTTTATCCTAAGTAATATTATAAATAGCGGTGTTTTTATGTTTGTTTGTGACGCTACTACACAAAAACTACTCAAATAATTTTGATAAATTTTGGTTTTGAGATATTTTAGACCTAAGAGAATAATATAAACTACTTTTTGTCGCATAAATTTAACCAGAAGGGTGTTTAAAATGATTTGCAAGCTTGAGAAACAAATAAATGTCTGTTGAAGATGCCAGTGGTTAGTATTAGTAGAAAATAGAATAAAATTTGTTCACGATTACAATCCTGACAATAATGACTATAATAAATCCAGCGATACCAAAAATTACCGCTAAACGAGCGCTTTTTCTCCGACAATTTGCGCCTCGCTTGACCTCTTTACGTCTTCACCAACACCTTAGGTAGTTTAATGGTGTGCTTCCAAAGCTCGGCGCCCGGAAGGCACCAACTAATCGTATCGATTGTTAGCGCAGTGTCAAACAACGCATCAGATGTAATCAGAAAGAAATTCTGCATGTCGTGAGCGTGAATAACGAGCGCATAAAGTGTTCAAAGCGCACGATGGAAATTATGTTATTATAATACGCGTACAGAGTGCGTACAGAGAGATGTATGTCAGTTGTGCGCAGCCTAGAAGGAAATGGCGCCCATGGGAATCCGAACCGGCAGTGTCAGAGTTGAATGAGATGCGAAAATGATGGAATAAAATATAACTGTGCACAACCGGCGCGAGCGAATATTTCGGAAGAGTTATGAAACAATTTACCAAACAACTACTACTGCTTGAATCCGCCGTAAATTACCACACAATACATCAACTTGTCTCTAAGCAGAGGTGATTAAACAAAAGTTTAACGCGTTAATTAAATATTTGCCTAGAATTCAGTAAATACTCAGCCGGAATAAATGTATCGTAAAGCCGCGCAGAGATTGTTCGTTAGATGAAAACATTCGCGAGCGCCAAATACGGGCCGGAGACCGAAATGGGTGACCGGGGAAGGAAATATGTGGGATGCACGACGCCAAGAAGCTGCAGGTCAACTTCTTCAACTAGTTTCAGCATAAAACCAAACCGAAATGGCCCGATAAGGGCAGCTGCGGTGCTGGAAAGCGATCCAACATCGTAAATATTGACTCGAATATAAGTTTAATAAACACTGACCCATCATCAATTATCGCTACTCATGCGCCGATTATAAATTTCATTAGCGAAAAATTTAATCCCGCACATCCTACACGTGTGGTTACAAGATAACGTCGTTAGCAGCCGGCAGACCGAAGCTTACTTAACCGACAAACTCAAGAGTCAGTCGCCGAGTAAACCATGTAAACCGCGCACCTTTGACCTCAGCACAAACGCAAGAAACGTGCCGGTTATAATCAGCAAACGATGCCGAAACATTAATTTTTAGCAAAACACTCCAGTTGATTACAATGCGCCTTGAAAAAGAGTTAATCAGAAATGCTAACAAGAAAATAATGATGACCGAGGCTCAGAGAAGAGTGTCGCTAGTGTCGCGAAAGGATAACAATGTGTGAGAACGCTTCGAATTCATCACGATCGACCATCAAAAGCGCATTATGCCTACAACATCAAACACAATCTTTGACGGGAAGGAAGAAAACAGTGTGAACGCCACACAATAGAAACAAAACGATTTTTTCGTCAGCTCCGAATGCGTTTCTACGTCCACAACACTGATCAATTTCCAATTAGGCATCGATATTGTCTATTGAAGTAGGATTCGAGTTGTCCTTAATTCACTCCTTGGCTAGTTAACAATGCAAAACGGTCCGCACTGTCGCCAAAAGAAGCGTGCGCTAACAAATGGAATTTAATGCCCCCGCCGAAGCGTGCATCACGAGAAGGAGAGCGGCGTGTATGTGCTGTTTGCTGTTATAATCCAGTAATGGAGAAATTATGCATTTGGGCAATCAATCCTGCGAAAAGCCGGCGCGCTCTCGTTGATCAAAGCATTATAACGAGGCATAAAATATAAGCGGCCGTCTGCTCCTCTTGGCTGCTTTATTAATCGGCAAACTAATGCGCCTAATAAATTCAGTTCGTTTCGCCGAGTCGATTAGTCTTCGGCGCAGGTAAACGCTGCTTGCGCGCAGCGTTGATTGCCGCGATTTTCCCAACTGCACACGAAAGCGCAAGCTTTGCGGACTGCCGTAGACTGCACGATTTCGAGAGCACTTAGAGACTTTAACCGTCACGTCAACTTACAGCTGGGAATATAATCGACGGCGCCGGCTTCGTTATTCGCGCAAACAAGACACCTTTGCGACTGTAATCATCATCGTAAAAGTTAGATTCACTTTTCAAAGCCGCGCGAAATAACAGAATCATTTAAAACGGAAACTATTAACATACAGTGTAGCCAAACTCAGTATAACGGCGTTAGTTTACCTTTAAAGCTATATATTAATTTCCTCTGTGTAAAGACGAAAAATATTTTCATTTCTAGCAATTACCACCGACAATATTTTTTAAAATATTGTTGCTCGTATGATTCCAACATCCCGGGTTCAAATTTAAAGGACAAAAGAAAATGAAACAAAAATTTGTTCACATATTCCCGCCGCGGTTAGAGTTACATCAGACTGCATTGAGCGATTTATACTTTGAATCATTTCCAATACAAATAATGAAGCAATTACGTTACGTCGAGTGTTGTTCTTTCATGCGCACCAATTCCTGGCGCAAGAAAAAACGATTAACTCATTCATTGAACATCCGAGCGGCGTGTTTTCGGAATTAACTCGTTAACGGTCGCAATCGTAAATTTTCATTGATATGTGAAACGCTCCACAAAAGTTCCACACAACAAAAGAACCGTAAACAAAACACGCATGAAAAAGCCCCGAACAAAATCAACCATGATCTTCACTCGGCTTAAAAAAAGAGTGTTAAATCCACTACCACTTTATGCATATTTATGCATACGAACGCCGGAAAAAAAGCTTCAAATATAATATCTACGCACAAGCAAGGAAACGAATTAAACTAACGGACACGTATATTCGTCCATCGAGCGACGAGCAAGAAATTGTGAATGTAGAGCCCCGGATTGCGAGTAATACGCGTACGTGTGGTGTGGATACAGTAATTGTTGTGCGCTCGCCGCCAGCGTCGAGTTAAACGCGCGTTATTAGCGATATTAACTGTTAGGTGTGTGTACCAAACGCAATAATATCGCAATTAGAGAATATTGTTCGGCCGGCGCACTGCGCACAGAAGCAAATGCACGAATATCATCTATCCCATCAAAAAAACCAAACAGTTACAAACTGATGATTTCATTATTTCGACTGCAATCAACTCTAATATACGTGAAAATCAAAAGAAACTAAATAAACACCTTGGTAATTTAATATTAATTGTTAATTACCTACCGCACGCAAGAGGCAAGACGCAGAAAGCAAAAAATAGTGAAAATTAGAAACACACAAGAAAATCTAATGTTTAGAAGTTAGGTTTTTGAGTGAAAATCCATCGATTTGCTTGTTGCAACGTCGATAATTGCTGGTAATTTATCGCGAACCAGTTTCTCGCCGTCATCGGCGGTGGTGGTACTGGTAAATCTTGTAATTAGAAGCTCGGCGCGCAAAACGAGCACAAACTGACGCCCAACGGGCGCGCTGCAAATAATTAATGATAACAGTGTGTCGATACATGCGTGAAAAATTAATTAATGAATCGCACACACATTACGAAATTTGTTATTACAATAACTCGCGTCCGCGCATAGAGAAAACAAAAAAAAACGAAGATTCAATTATCGTTTTAGTAATTTTCTGCGTTTGCATCCTGTGCAGGTAGGTAATTTATAATGGCGTAAATGAACCTCGGCGATTATCAATTTTCACCTCTGCGCAGAATGTTTTCTTCCGCCAACGCAACACTTTGATTAATCACCTCTCGATAATGATAATTACAAGTGAAGTGAAGGTAATGTTAATTTATTAATATTAACACAACCCTTCTGTATATTTTACGGCGTTCATAAATTTCGCATAAATATTCGCGCGCCTACTTAGAAACCGCGAAAGATATTAAACGAAGACAACGGAAGCCGCAGCCGGAAACGTGTACCAGCTTTATTTATTCGTCAGTTTATGGGTCAAGCAGTGCAGACAAAAATTGCACAATTTACGACTTGTAACGTGTGTGAATTTATTTCCAGAACTTGCTGCCGCTTCCAGCTGGTGCGAGCGCCGCCCTAGTCAAACCCACCAAGTACCACTACTATCCGCATAATCAGCATATTTATTTGTTGCCGGAGTGCGCTATTCAACAGGTAAATTTATTGCTTGGAATCGAACACGCTTTATATTTATATAAATATGATTTATTTATGTGTAGGTGTGTAATGCTGTGTATGTCAGACTGAATTGGACTCAACCCTTGTGCGCGTGTCCTTCGAGATATCGAGATCCTTGTTCGGCGAGTTTGAATTCCGATGATCAGCACACGACCGAGTTACAAGTGGATCGAAATTCTAAGGTGATTGTAACAAAATTATTATTTGTGTACGGATATGCGATCGTATTTCCTGACACGAATCCGAATGAATTCAGTTATTATTTCCGATTTTATCGAACGATGCCATCAATTGAAATGCCATCTGCATGCCGCCTGCATCAATTGAAAATGAATAATGTGCCGTTTCGCAATTTTGTGTAAAGATTTCATCGGCGCGCAACGAAACAAAAAGAGCACCGAATCAAAATTATGCATCGGAGCCTAGATATCGAGAGAATAAGAATTATACGAGTACAGTCATGACCTTGCGCCGCTGGCAATCGAAGAAAAACGCATTGGAAAGTAAAGCTCTCGGTAAACAATGCGAATGTGCTTTACGTGGTGCATGCGTATAGGCGGAAATCGAGAAACGCATTGTTTCATTCAACACACGACACCTGCCGCCAGGTTTTCTTTATTTCTTTCTTTTTTGTTATCGGCATTCAATCGAAATCCTAGAATTCCAATTGCAAGCGTAGCCATAATTCACCACAATGCGATTTCAATAAGAAACTACTACAGCCCAGCCAACCAGTATCACATATCTACACGATATGATTGTTCGCATTGTACGCATCGTGCATCCAAACGAAATTACTTCAATTAACTTCATTACTTCGCGCATTAAACATCACGCATCGTGCAGCTAATTTTATTTACGATTTAATTAACGTCAATGAAATGATAGAAAATCAACGCACACACATTAATGAGATCACGATTTTTTCATTGAAAACTCATTCTTTTTAAATTAATATTTTACGGTGGTGTCATTAAATCTATCGTAAATTGTCAAATGGATTTTCATGCCAATAATTGGACGTTTTCCCACGAAATTCAACACTCGCAACGTGCGTACCATTACGTTACATTACCGAAGGAGGTAAATGATCAAACGCAGCGTGTACACGCGTTAAATAAATTAAATAATAACCGGGTGAATGTGAAATGATTCTTTCTAATTTCAGCGAGCGTTGACTCTGGTGAAAACCTGCGAGCCTACGACTGACATGCGCATTTGTCGACTACCACGCGATTGGTCTCTGTTAGCACTGCAAAATATCCGCACAGGAAAGTCACATTATTTGGTGATCTGTCGCTGCCCCGATACAAGTGTCCTAGGTAAATATTTCCACGAAAAATTTAATTTTTTTGTATTAAATATGAATTAATTTTGAATTATAGAAGGACCAATGTCTCACGATCAGCCTACATATGCCAGCGTGCCCGGAATCCGCGTCTACGGCATGATGTGCGTACAACCCCCGCAACAATCATCCCCGAATAAACGACGCGGTCGCCCACTCCGACTAACACGTTCCATTGACGCGGATCCACCGTTCCCGTGGGCGAAGGCAGTCGAATTCGCAAAAACCGCCGATTGGGACGATTAAATTATACCTCAGTGGTAATATAAAGCAACGCGAAGAAACTGATTACTTAGCATTAGTAAAACGTAGTACTTTGATAGATATCGACAAAAAAAAAACGAATTTATATTATGAAAACGCAGTACAAGTACGAGATAATTATGTTTTTGTAATTATTACTTGCACTCAACGTTCGATGACGATGAAATTATGCACCTATTGCCATTTTGTGCGTCGTAAACGAGTAATATTTATTTATTTATATTCTAATTCGAATTTAACGCAGCGTATTTATAAAGCAAATCTATTTTATATACATATTTATAGATATTTATTGTATTTCGAGTAAATAAGTAAAGAAGAATTCAAAACTCACCGAGAATTCGTGTGTTAACCTGGATGTCGGTGGTGAAGATGGGTTCCATCAACCGGGGGGACTGTTTCTCCACGGATTCCCGCATGAGATCCCTCACAGCACCAGGAATATTCCCCACCATCTGCACCTTCATGTTTTCCATGCCACGCAATGCTTCGTAATTCTCTAATTTGTAATCGGTGACGATAAAAGCGCAATTCGTCAGTGGTTCTTCACAAATCGGGCCTGATTTGCAACACATGTCAAATCCGTTGACAATGCAATGATCCAGGCATGCGCGGACATCATTTTCATCTAATGTCCGCCAAATACTGCGTTTGTAGCCGCTTTTGTTGATCAAAACATTGCAAAAGTCTCTCTTTTTCGATAACGCCCATATATTCTCTTCTACACCCATCCATAATCCTTTACTATCCTTGAAAGCCATTTTCAGGTTATCTTTAACCTTATTCATTAACAATTCATTACTGTATACTTTCAAATGGCTTTCCAATTTGTTTTTGGCATCAGTATCAAACTGATACATAATATCAATACCGGATTTATGCTCAAACTTTTCAATGAGCTTCAGAATATCATAATTTGCAGTTAGGACATTGACTAGATGATCTGGTAGTGGTACAGCTATCAAACTTAACGTTAAACCAATATCTTTCAGCGTCAATTCAACAGTTTTAGTTAAATCTATTCGTTTCCCGCAAACAACTGTTTCTTTTATTGCCACCATCGGTTTGGAGACGTTCAAATCGATTTGTGCAATCATTGTTTGTATATCTTCGATGCACTTTGCAAGATGCACATCTCCAGCGGTCAATAAAACCAATTCGCCGGTGTCTTGCACCGCAACCTGCACGCACGAATCGATTTTCTTTAAGAATTTCAATCCTTTGCGCAATAAAGGTAAATCTTTCGGATTGTGACATTCAATTGAATTGCGTACAATAGGCTCGAGTGATATTCGCTCAGTCAACGGTAAAGTGAATAAAGAAGAAGATAGTGTACCAGTGCGACCGATGTGTTTCTCTAAACCACGTATACCACAAATGTTACCGGCTGATACACTATCCACCGCGACTAATTCACGCCCCAATAAAATATACAATTGTTTGATTTTTACTTTTACGATGCTAGATGATGATTTTAGGAATTCATCGACATCTACATCCTTATTAGGTGGAATGTAGTGAGGGGATTGAATAAAAATATCGGTACCTTTAGTTAAAACTCCAGAAAATACGCGGGATAACGCCAGAACACCGAAATCTCGAGAATGGTCTAAATTTGGATCGTAATCTTCATCTTCTGATGATGAAGAAGTCTCATCATTGATATTTACAACAGGTTCTACGGGTTTTTCTTCTTCTACTTCAGTTTTCTTGCGACCAACTACAATATTCACAGCTTTCTGTTGCTGCAGCTGTTTTTTAGTTACAGCAAACATTTTACTCACATAAACAATGGTCGCCATTTTATTTTCAGGCGCTTTTGACGCTAGAATATCAATTGTTTCATCTGCTATTTTACTTAGCTCATTATTATCAAAATACTGTGTTTTATTGACTAAATATTCATATCTCTGTGGACTTATAGCCGAAGGTGGTGGTATATTTGACTTAACCTGAGTTAAAATCGTCTCTGCCAACGGTTTCCAAGCCTGTAAAATCGCTTTAACTTGGATTTTAGCATCTGTATGCTTCATATCAAAAGTTTCCTTCTGTATCTTGAATTTTTCGATAATCATTGGGTATTTAGAGCGGTCTAACCGAATTCTTAACGTAAAATAAACGTAATGTATTGTGTTTAAGAATAATGTCTCAAATAACGTTGGTTTCTTTTTACTAAGCGCCCCAGGGACTATTTTACCCTTCTGAATGTAATAATCAAAGTCCCATAATTTACTATTTAATGATTCGGGTGTTTCTGAGAAAGTTTCCGCAAACATCTCAGCGATTTGTAACGTTGTAACACCCCAGCCGTCATACGCGCTTGCAAAAATAACATTCCCACGCTCTGGTGAAAATAAATACTCTTCTTCTTCAACAGTGCATTGTAAGTCATACTGACAAAGTTCTGCAACGTACGCATTGCAGTTTTCTATAATACGCTGAATGTGTTGAAAGATAATGTCAACTTCTTTCTGTTGTTCGACAATGATACGGTCTAGTTTGTTTATGACTAAGATAGTTTTGATGCGTTCTTCGAACGCTTGTTTGAGCGCTTCGCGAGTTTGTACGCAGACACCTTCGATCACATCGACTACGATCAAAGCACCGTCGCAAATGCGAATGGCGGCCGATACCTCGGTGGAAAAGTCGATGTGACCGGGGGTGTCAATTAGGTTTATTACGGTTTTGTCGTGAACGAGACTAATGGCGCTTGACTTCATCGTGATGCCGCGTTCTTGTTCATCGCGGCGGTCGTCCAGGTAGCGGGTGTTTCCGGCGCTGCGTTTTGATATGTGGCCGTTAATGGCGATGAGAGAATCAGCAATGGTGGTTTTGCCATGGTCGACATGCGCGAGAATGCAGATGTTGCGAATCTTGGTGCTGTGAGAAGCAGCAGTGAAAGTTTCACGCTGATTCATCTAAAGATTGATTGTCTTATCAGATTAGTGAATTGTAATAAGTACACAGACACATTACACAACAGATATCACTTAAATTGAGGAATAACTTACAATATTAGTGAGTTTTGAATAATTTTTCAGAGGAGTGATGCGGCAGGTGGTTGTAAAGTTTTTGAGGTTATGACAAAGCGTGCGAAGCGTACTTCGGCGTGCGTCGTTTCTGCTCGACAAAAATTCAAATTTCTACATAAGCGTTATCCGAAAAGAAAGAAATATACAAAAATTTATAACTTATATGCGTTCAATCTCTTATCTTTAATATACAATGCTCGTGTGGAGTTAATTCGAATGAAAAGTCAACGTTCACATGATTTTTGCGAGTTTAGACTAAAATATTTGCGCAAAACATTTACAAATGGCGAATGTCTTGTAGCAAAATAGTCTAGATTTATGTTCAATTTCATATATTTATTGTAATTGTATTAATTATGTACATTAAGTATAGCATTCACTTTATAATGTATATTTTATAATAAACCGAATACACGAAACGAAAATATTGAATTTCGCTATATTTAGTGTAATTATTAGAATACAATTAACATACATTTATATTAAAAACAACAAGATTGATTTATACAGCTCTTTTGTCATTTGGAATCGCAACGTGCGTCGAGCCCGGGCCTAATCCACTGTTGTATCAGTTCAATATATCCACCATCCTTCATTTTTTGTTTGTTTAAATATTAAAATCGTGTGTAAATGAACATGTTATGTGCAATTTGTACGATGCGGTCGCTTACGTTTCCTCGACACATTCAAAATTGGAAGCGTTTGTGGTTCGAATCGGAAATGTTAATCATCGCGCAACGTCAAAACCTCCAACGGGTGGGTGAGAATAGTCGAACTCTAGAAAAAGGGTCACACGACAGCACGCGAAACGCGAAAAGTACACGAGAACGTACATAATAAAAAATAGACTTTTATCTAAATGCGTTTGTTGGTTGTGTCGCTCAAAAAAGGGCCAAATAGAGTTAAACTTTAAACATTTATGATTGTAAATAAGCACCAATTGAAAATACCATCGATTGGTCGCTAGCAACGTGTTATTTTCTTCACTTATGAATACACTACACGGCTCAGGTGCAGTATCACGGTCTCAAACGATCAGAGAGCAAATTTCCTCAACGTCATCAGCTAAATACTCGAAAATATAGCTCAAAACTGTTTGAAAAACGCAGCTTCTGTTCGTTGTCGACCCTTTCGCTTCACACACGCCCACTAAACATTATTATGTCTATGTTAGATCAAGAAGTGAAGTGTAGTCGGGGAGCAGTCTTTGCATGGGACCTCTCAATAAAATTCAATGTACATGTATATAATTGGCAGTCGTATAAACAATGCGCCCCCATGTCAAATCGCCCCAGTGCGGTCAATTGTCATTTAATACTTGCATTTGCTCCAATTTGGTAATGAATCGTATAAGTATCGTTTAAATATAAATATATTATACGTACGTAAATATTATGATGTAAAATAATAGCACTGTGTGTTTGTTTTAAAAAACCGTTTACAATTATTAACTCATACATGTAATGTGTGTGTTTGTGTCTGTGTCTTATCAGCGCTCCACAATCAGCCCAATGGTTTATCTATAGATTAATATTTAATGTGTGTGTGGATTATGCTTCGATGATTTTTAAAAAAATAATCAATTAGATCGATTCGTTAGTGGCAGTTGTATGCATACATCCGAACGCAAGTTTTCAAAATTTTATACATTTTACAATTACTGATTTAAAAATTCAATCCACTCTCGGCTCGCATTTATTTACTCTCTCTTTGTTTTTACCCCGTTTGCCCCGTGTTTCAACAAATACATGTACATATTAAATTAAATAGTTTAGTTCTCATCATTTTTGTGGCTAAAATTGAAAATATCGCTTCTTAAGATATATAAACTATATAATAAAATAATAATAGTCTTGCAATCGCTAATGATTTGGTTCTGATTGGAAAATTGTTTGGATAACCGACAAAATTACGATGCGATTGTGTTAAACTGTGTGTGTGTGTGTGTGGTGTGTTTCGCTGCAGTTTTCGAAATGGTTGGCGGCGCCGATTGCAATTCGTTTCTCTTGTAATTATTATTTGTGTGTTTATGTTTCTTTTGTATACTTAGTAGAGAAGATTGTGTTGTATTTGGCTTGGCATGCTTTTAAAGAAGCGCGCAAATCGATTTCTTTTTCTGCTTCTGTTTCTTTTCGGGCGATTTTTTGTTGATTTGTCGCACTAAATCGAAAAAGATCTACGACAAACAATCAATTACAGATAAGTCACGAGTGCGTCGATAAATACTCACATCAATAACGTTGATTTTCGCTTTGGCGGAGGTCTCCATGAAGGCACAGTTAAACTGGCGCGACAGATTGATGCCCTGGTCCTTGCCGACCACTCTCTCCTCCTCCAAATCACATTTGTTGCCGACCAACACCATTGGAACATCATCGGTATCCTAAAATCCACAATAACCGTTTAACGCTGTGGTAAAACTCGCATTATCACGAGCATTTCTCCACAGGAAGTAACACAGATAAGCGCATTTCCTTTGCAACCTCAGAATACATTACAAACCATATAAAATTGTGGCAAATTCCTTACTTGAGCAATAAATAAATTACCGTTATGCATAATTGCACTCATACACACCTTGACTCTGAGTATTTGTTCTCGTAAGTCCTGCAAATCGTTAAACGTCGATTGCGCCGTTATCGAATACACCAGAATAAAGCCCTGGCCGTTCTTCATGTAAAGGTCGCGCATGGCTGTGAATTGTTCCTGAAAGGCACCGATAACGCAGCGTATTAATTACATAAACATATACTGCATGTTTGACTCACTGTGCCGGCCGTATCCAAAATTTCCAGCATGCATTGCTGCCCGTCGACTTCGACTTGTTTGCGATAACTGTCCTCGATTGTTGGGTCGTACTTCTCGACGAAGATGCCTTGCACAAACTGCACGGTGAGGGCGGATTTACCCACACCGCCGGAGCCCAACACGACGATTTTATATTCACGCATGTTTTCCTGCTTAAAATGAGCAAAATGTTCTGTAAATCAAAAGAGAAACATTATTTGTATGTGTATCAGAGGATGAGTCCATACAAAGTAATATATTTAAATTGATGAGTCAACCAATTAAAAAATCACAAGTGGGAGCTGTGTTTCAGCTTGTGGGCACGTACAGCGCCGATAAAAACGCGCTCGCAGTTTACCCTCGATAATTTCATGAAGAAATAAACTAGTTAATTGTAAAATTGTTCATGCTGTGTCCAAATTTTGAGCAATTGACATGAAACATGAGCTGAAATAACAAGTTTTGTTGATTTGTCTTAGGAGTTTAACACTTCCAGGTGGATATTTGGCTTAAAAAAACACACAAACATAAAATCACAATGAAAGCTATTTATAGATGATAAAATGTGTGGAAACTTTTGAGTTTATGAGCAGAAAAGCATGCAGAGAAGGTGTTTAGCAATGATCAACAGATTATGATGTCAGTACATACCTCTCTATATTGGTTAAATGAATAAAAGTGAATTCCAGAGTGATTCACCCACTGATTCAGCACTCAAGCTCAAGTTCACACCAAGGTCCCACTTGCCCAGAAGGGTAGTTTCACTGTGGACTGCTGTATTTGTATTGTACACCCTGCTGGTGTTCAGACTTTAAAGTCCACGCTCATCGCTCGGAGGCTAAAACGTACAAATAATATTTATCAGTTGCGAACGAGTTGGAAACCGTCGGCGGCGGTTTGATGGCGGTTTGCCGATGGGGCACGCGTCGGCCCGCATTGCCGGCCCTGCCGCAAGTTGATGTGCCTCACCTTGATGTGGCTGCTGCGATAGGCGCGCGCGTTGTTGCACAAGGCGTGCGAGTGTCCGACGGCGTTACGAGAGAAAAAACGGGCGATGGCCAGCTTCACACACTACGACACGCTGCGCGTACAGCACGCAGTTACTGGTGGCGGCGGCAGAGAGGTGGAGTTGTTTGACCAGCGACTCTGCATGACTCTGTCGCGGAAGCGAACGAGGCGAAGCGCGCTTGGTTTGTCACTCGGCTCAACGCAAACCAGTGCTGCCAACCTTTGACAGTTTGACAGCATTTGAAACTGTGCAGAATGTTAAAACAACAAATTATCTCTTTTAATTTATAGTAACTATTTAGAATAAATATATTAACATACTAGAGTAAATAAATTAATTTACAGTAAGTTATTTGTTTCAAGTTGGATTTGCCAACTATCAAGTCTAAAAGTTTCTTGGAATTTATGTGAGTCATTCATACCACACCTTTCTTGATAATTACAGAAAACTATCAAAATTACAAGTAATAACATAGATTTAATTAACATAATAACTAAAAATTAGTATAATTTGTTTGTATCAGTCGAGGAAAATAAATAAATAAATATATAAACAATTACTAATTTAAAGTTCTGTTAAATGCCGGCAGAGGGCGCCACCTGCTACCGAACACCATATTTGAAATATTGCTTTACTTTTACATTTTATTACTTTTTTCCTAATAAACTCATTAAGAAACTTTAAAATTAAGAAAAATACTACATTTTTAAATGTTAATATATTGCCACCTTTTAGTAATAGTAGCTGACAAAAACGTAGATTGAATTTCGTAAATTAAAACTTAATTAAATGCTGAAACGTTGCGTCGTTTTTCGTTTTTCTCAAGCGTACTTCATAAAAACGTCTAATGAATTTAATGAGAACGAAAACGTTTGGAAGCTGTTGAGGTGCAGCAAGTTTGACGCGAAATTAAGATGCCAGCCGTTATTTACGCTCGCAGTTTAAAGATTTAATAAATTAAATATTTCCGCGCGTCGTAAAAGTTTTACGCGCGCTACGTGCGACCCAAAACGCTTAAAAACAAAGTATAAACACTGTAAAATGCAGAAAATAATATTACAGTAGTGCTACAGTAGTGTATTTGATAAATTAATAGAATAAATGCAAGTGTGGAGTGCAATTGTGCGATTGACCAACTTTCACTTTCGCAGGTGTGTGCTCCCCGACTGTAGGTCGACACTGATCTAGTGCACGCCCGAAACTCATGAACTCGGCCGCCCCCGAGTGTGGCAGTGGCGGTGGCGACACCATGTGCGAGATGCTGCGTCCACCGCCACGCGACTCGTCGCGCACGCAACGCGGAAGTTCGTAGATCTATTGATTTTTCTCGCTTGGCCGCCGCCGCCGCCGCCGCCGCTGACTTAATACCACTGCATTCGCGTGCGCGTTATTCAATTTTAACTCATTCGCTTAATTTGGTTTATTTTTAGGAGCGGATGCAGAAGGTACAAGCGTACGCGGTACACAAACAGAGCGAAAAACTTGACTGCGCATAATTTCGTTGCGAATCAAAGTAAATTCCCCTTTTGGTACATAAATGATAAGTATCTCATTAAATATACCTATATAATGCGCTATTTTTACGCCTCGTTTGATAGGCAGCCAATTATACAATTTACAATCGCATTGTGCGTTTGTTGCGCTCGATGATTCAAACGACAATTTCTCATGCAAATTGCAATCGAGTTGAGAAGCCGCGCGGCGTGTCAAACGAGCGCCGGAAAGTGCACACAAAGTTATAATCGATTCGACGGTGGCAGGAGGCAGGAGGTGGCAGTGGCACAGCATCCACCGTTTTCCTCTTTTGTCTTGCCGCACCACCCCGAAGAGATAGCTAATTATTCGATGGCGAACAATAGCGTTTCACGCTGTCCACCTCCGCCGCCCCCATTGGCGCGCATAACTTATGCCATTGTGCGTATCACGTGGGCGGTAGGTACATGGCCTGACCCCGCCATAGCCCGACTCCGGGCAAATGTCAGATGTATTTTTAAACCGTGGGCGCGCGCGAAGTCACTGTCAAAACACTGCATAACCTCAATTATGCGCCAGCGGCGGGGAGTTTCAATAATCGTCGCGCAACACAAACAGGCGAGGTGAATGTTATATATGCCTGGGGGCTGCGGGCAAACACCAGCGGCACACATATTATCCAGATTCGCCGAAGCGCACTTGAGGTTTCGGCCTCTTCACACCCGCCTCGCCGGGGCATTATAAATCAGTGCCGGAGGTGGTGGTAGTCGTGTGTGTGATCATGTTTAACGATGTTAGCTTAAATGTACGAGTATGTAAAACTTAATTCGACGCGGTCCGCTGGGCATGTAGGTTTTAAAAATGGGTCCCGAGCGTCCCTAGGTGAAAACAGGTACGGTACAAGCGCGCGCAGCTTCCCGAAAGCGAAAAAAAACGATGCACGATTAGCAGGACACTGCAGAGGGTGGAAAGAGAAGTGTCCCTGAGCGTGGCCGTTGAACTATGCAGTACAGGTTGACCAGGATCACCGCGAGAGTAAACAGATTACATTGGTACTTGCTGCGAGAGAGCTTTGATGGTCCCAGAGGGCAAAAACTACTCCTGTTGCTTCTGCAAATAGTTAAATAGAGAATAGTAGATCCCAAAGGGTTGGCGCGTAAAAATTACACTTTAATCAATATAGAATATTGGCTATGGTTAGTATAATGGTCCGGGGGACCGACTGTTGCTTCACAAATAGAGTAATAGCTCAAACAGGAAGAAGGGAAGCAAAAAGACGGTATGCCGACCTTTGTCCGGCCGAAAATCTGCGGTCGACTAAATTACCGAGCCGCAGTTCATCGAAACACTAGACTCCCCCCCCCCCCAAGCACAACCCCCGTGTGGGACCGTTTTCATTTACTGCTCACCGTTTTTGTCTCGCAAAAAATCAAAGGAGTTTCGCATAAAAGATTCAAGGCTATGCAGAAGATGGAAACACAGTCACACAGTGTTCATCAAAACCGCCCCCCCTGAAAGCAATAAATTATAGTGCCAACGTTTTAATCAATCAACACACCCCCGCGGCGAGGCATTTAAACAATTTTTATCGATCAAAATTGGCGCAAATAAAATAGTCGGCGGAATTCAAGCGGAAATTTATTTATTACCGGCGTAATTCGGAAAGTAGGGCATGTTAAGCATAAAACTTTCCAGTTTCCACCCCACAACCAAATAATATTAACGGTGACACAATGCATCTGCGCTTTAATAACAATTTTCATCTTTCAGCCCATCGCTAGTCCATTTTGATTAATTTTACTGTTCATTAATTATAAGACAAAGTGGCAAGTGTTGTCGGAGTGGTGTGGGGGTGGAAGGGGTGGAGTTGACGGGGTTGATCGATGTCCTGCGGCTTTTCACCACACGCCCCATCCGTTTGATTAATTCAAACCGCTTTAAACTGAATAAATAATTAACAAACTCTGCAGAATATTGCATATTGGAAATGTTGGGTAGGCGGGGAGGCGGCTGGCTGGCTGGTAGGGGTGGATGTTGGATGCATCTTTGGCGGGCGATGGCACATCAATGCGACGTGTCGATGCGCGTGCGGGACGGTAACATGTGGTCCCCAGTCGAAGCCGCCGCCGCCGCTGCCGCCGCTGCCGCCGCTGCCACCGTGGACGCTGCGGCATGCTTGACGCGCACGCGCAAATCTTCATTGATCTCTCCGCGCGGCGTGCAGCATCCCAGGCGCTCGATGAATTTGCGCCCCGCTCGGCCGTCGTTCGGTGCAGGGGTGGGGAGGCGGCGCGGCGGTGGCACAAGCAGCAGCCGCCTCGCACAGCATCCCGGCGGCAGTGGGTCCGTGGTAGCGCAGTAGCCAGAGACTCGAGACGCCAGCTCGAAATGGCCACAGTATACGGATGTGCAAAGTAGAGTCGATTTTGCCGCCACCGCCGCAGTCGCATCCGCCGCCGCCGCCGTCGTCGTCGTCATCATCGTAGCCAAACCGTGTGCAGACAGAGGACTAGCCGCGCGCGCGACATGATGTAACACACACCGTAACCCTAATCACACCGTAATTTTTATCACACGCGCGATAATCGTATTTATTTATCTCTCCTCCTCCTCATTACACATTCACTCTCTGTGCGCGTGTATGAAGTATGTGCGGCAGCGGGGTAAACTCAAAGTGCTGCGCTAGGCGCCGCCTCCGGTCTGGGTGCCCTCGCCGCAGTCTGCACTAGCCGCCACGCACGCACTTCTTCTCCTCCGTTCTTCTGGAGCGATGATCTAAAGCGGGCCACGCATCTCCGAGTCAGCGCGGTCTTCGAGCACCTTTAAGCACGTCATCACCACCACGCTATCTTGGGCTACCCCATGGACAGTGGCATGCGGCAATGTCAATTCAACTGCGGCCCGCGAGCACTGACGCTCTTTGTACTCTTGCACATCTGCCTCACGCTACCGGACGGTAACAGAACTTTTCTTTCACATGCCGCCATTTTGTACTAGCCAGATAACATACATTTGCATATACAGCGAATATTGTTTCAACTTGTGGGACACATTTTTATCGTATCAAGCGGTCCCTTGCCGCCCCTGACAGTTGTACACGTTCTATAGGTACATCTCCAGGGGGACGTTTTTCATGCTCTCACGTGATTAACATTTTGACATGTCCATTAACTTTCACCAGCGTGCAAATTTATATCCGAAATGTACAAAATGGCGGTCATAGGTGGCGCTGTACCCACATTTAGCTACTGTGTTTACATGAGTTAAACTTGAGTTAAAAATACTCTGGTATCTCGCATTGTGCAGGGATGATCCGTCATAATGGAGTCGCGCACGTCGACGAGCTCTTGACTAATGCGACATCTGCGACGTTTCGATAACTCGCTGTTTAACACACCGTTAATGTTACAATGCGCGTTGGGGGTGATGATGATTGTGTGCGTAGATCGTGTGACGCAAATTCGCTCTCTCAGCCGTTGACAGGCAAAAAAGGCTCGTCAAACGCACGCCGACAGCGACAGCACAATAGCACCCTCAGCGTGCCACAATACTCGAAATGTTTCCAAACGAATCTCAATTTCAAAACAATTGTTTCAATTTTTGTTTCAAGCACACACACACGCCAGACCATTGTGTGTAGCTCTCAATTGAGGTTAAATCTGTTGTAGTTTTGCGCGGGTTATTTTTTTGCTTGGTCCTTCTTGGCTCCTCCATTCGCATTCTGACTGTATCATAGATCTAATAAATCTCCGGCATGCATCAGCCAACACGGCATTCCGACGTCGTGCAAGAAGGCAAACAACAAGATTAACCGCCCTCTTATAATAATAAAAACCGCTCGGCTGGTCCGCACGCAGCTTGTTTATCGAATTGGCTTTCTTCTCACTCTGCTCACGCCTCGCCACGAAAACAATCGAATATTTTTGCGCCCCGAAATCAAATTGACCTTGGATTTATGTCGCTTTTTGCAGACGTTGCGGGCGGCTACAATGAGAAGCGGCTGCTGCACAAACTCCTCGATCACTACAATGTGCTCGAGCGGCCCGTCGCGAACGAGTCGGACCCGCTGCAGCTCAGCTTCGGGCTAACATTGATGCAAATCATCGATGTGGTATGTACCTATGCAACCACTGCTACATATACGCATAAACGTGTGTGTATGTCTGGTTGCCTGGCTAATATATACGTGTTTAAAACTTGTTCCAGGATGAAAAAAATCAGTTGCTCATTACGAATATCTGGCTGAAGTTGGTGAGTTTTCCGTTCGCTTGCTTTTTCAACCATCCACCGCCCCCAGCTTTGTACGGCAAACTTTTACTGATATTAGATATGAATGAGCGCTGGCACACTTCCATCCGCATATACCGTGTAACTATAGTTTAGAGATAGCAGCGTTGGCGGCGGGCGGAAAGTTGCGCAAAAATATCAGAAGCGCATCGCTCCGAGACGCGTCCTAATAGGATAATATATGACTTAGGGATGTGATATATTACGAAAAATACCATTTTTTACTGTTGGCACTTTTCAAACTTATCTCTTCCGAGTCGCGCAAAAAGAAAATCGTTCAACATTCTTCAATTCTCAAATTGGAAATATTACTTTCAATTAAGGAGGTTGTCAACAATAAATTTCTCTGTGCAAAAAACAAGAGTTTTGCATAGTTTTGGCTGGATCTGCATAGATTTGCATTTGATTTGTCGGATTTTTAGCATGATTCCGATTGATTTACATGTTTTTACATAACATTTTCATAATACGAAGCGAATGCTTCCTTTTGGCAAGTCATGTGAAGTCAACCATTTTGATTCCGAGTGTTTGTGTGAAAGGAATGGAACGATATGAACTTGAGATGGAACGCTTCGGAGTTTGGCGGAGTAAAGGACCTGCGTATTCCGCCACATCGTCTCTGGAAGCCGGACGTGCTCATGTACAACAGGTATTGCGGATTGAAATTCACCTCGGGACATGGGAGTTGTCTAAATTCGAATTGGGTTGTTGCAGTGCGGATGAGGGCTTCGACGGCACGTACCCCACCAACGTGGTGGTAAGGCAAAACGGCAGTTGCCTGTACGTGCCGCCGGGTATCTTCAAGAGCACGTGTAAGATCGACATCACCTGGTTCCCGTTCGACGACCAGCGTTGCGAGATGAAGTTCGGGAGTTGGACCTACGACGGATTGCAGGTATGAATATTTCTGGGATTATCCTGTGATATTGCGGGATTAACCTGGTTGGCTTTTCCACAGTTGGATCTGCAATTGCAGGATGACGCCGGTGGTGATATTAGTAGTTTCATCACGAACGGCGAATGGGACTTGCTTGGTGAGTAAATAATAATTGCGCGAACATAGAAATTGAAAACAAGTGGTTAATGTTTATAGGCGTGCCGGGTAAGCGTAATGAGATCTATTACAACTGCTGCCCGGAGCCGTACATCGACATCACGTTCGTGATCATCATCCGTCGACGGACACTCTACTACTTCTTCAATCTGATCGTGCCGTGTGTGCTGATTGCGTCGATGGCGGTGTTGGGCTTCACGCTGCCGCCCGACTCCGGCGAGAAGCTCTCGCTGGGTGTGACCATCCTGCTGTCGCTCACCGTGTTCCTCAACATGGTCGCCGAGACGATGCCGGCGACCTCTGACGCCGTACCACTGCTGGGCACCTACTTCAACTGCATCATGTTCATGGTGGCCTCCTCGGTGGTCTCGACCATTCTCATCCTCAACTATCATCATCGCAACGCCGATACCCACGAGATGTCTACCTGGGTAAGATATGACTATGGGTGGGTGGGTTTAATACTAGATATTATAATGTGTGTGGGTTGCAGATTAAAGTTGTGTTCCTCTACTGGCTGCCGTGCATTCTGCGCATGAGCCGGCCTGGTGTGGGTATGTGCGACTACCCAAAGGGCAGCGCTGGTTCATCGGTGGGCTCCGGCGGGAAGCCGTTCCAGGATGTGGAGATGAAAGAGCGCAGCTCCAAGAGCCTGCTGGCGAACGTGCTCGATATAGATGACGACTTCCGGCATAATCATCACCGAGGCGCTGGTACACCCACGCCGCTCCCCACGGCTGCGTTATTCCGAACAGTCTACAGGCAGGACGAGAACAACGGCAATGGCGGTGGACGATTGCACGAATCGCTCGTCTCCAACCACGCCTGCCTCAGCGCCGACTACGAGCTGGCCCTCATCCTGAAGGAGATCCGCTTCATCACCGACCAGCTGCGGAAGGAGGACGAGGCCGCCGACGTGACGCGCGACTGGAAGTTCGCGGCGATGGTGGTCGACAGACTGTGCCTTATCATATTCACCCTGTTCACGATCATCGCGACGCTCGCGGTGCTCTTCTCGGCGCCGCACATCATCGTCTCGTAGCCGGGCGCCCGCCGCCGCCGCCGCCGCCGCCACCTTCGTTGGGTTCTTCCTAGTGTTTTACATTTGATTCGTACGACGCGCACACGCGCACTAGCTGCCAAACAAATCGACGAAATGAAGATGAAGTTAGTGTTTAGTTTCGTTTAGCTAACTAACCGGAGCGGACCCCCTCCCACCTGCCCGCCCGCCCCCAAACACACTCACTAGCCGTTTGGCGCGCGCGTGCGTGCGCGCCGCCCAGGGGACGACGACGTTGAGATTTTATACACAAAATACATAAGGCAGGTATCGAACTTACTGAATTTACCTACGATTACGATATGACAAAACGACGCGTGTTTTCTTTTTGTATAGTGTTCTTTAGGATATTAAAACACAATCATACTGTGATAAATCAAATTAAATGTTGAGTTGACAAAGTGAGGGACGAGGACGACGACGACGAAAATAACGCACGCGATTTAAGACAAAAAAGAACACACGCCCCACGCGCACGCCCACGCACCCGATTTGCTGGTGGGCGGTGGGCGTGCACGTGCGCGAGAATACTTCAGTTGCATAAACAACAACAACTATTTCCACGCGCAGGCCCATCGCTCCAGTGGGCGGCGCGTCGCGCGCACGCGCATTGTTAATTCACACATTGTTAATGGCATTTTTGTATTCAAACAAACGACATGTAGATGGATATTTTTCTCGATAGGATTTAAACATTTTAAAACATCGTTAGGATAATTAAAAACAAAACATCAATACAAACAATTATTATTTGCGCTTTCCTGCTCATTTCGTTTGATCGATTATTCGCGCAAGTCGACCGATGCGACAACCGCCATACTGACGCCGCGGCCGATTTGCCACCGTAAAACATTCAAGTCTATTTAAACAAGGAAAAAACGTAAATGATAATTATGAATTGATATAAACGATAAATGAATTAATGAGATACTAGTGAAACAAGTGAGGTTGTCATAATAGATGCATAAGGAAAGAAAACAACATTTGATTGGTGTGTTCGTTCGCTTACATTTGCTCAATGCTCAAATATTAATTATATTGACATTTAAATGAAGGCGAAAATCTTAACACCCACACATTGAAACACACCCACACACACATACACAACTCATGCACGCCCTGGCCGGGATGAAACAATGAAAAACATTCGCACACGCACGTCAAACGCGAAACAAAGGAAGTTGCTCAAAAATCTTTCCTAGAAACCGTGCGCGGAATGTAACTCGACGCCGAATTTACCACTTCCGGAAGGGCGGCCATTTTCTCTCACACACACACACACACACACACGTGTCGATACCGGAAAACGGTTTAGTTGGAAAACCTTGTCACTGTCACACGCCATGACAATATATATCTTGTTATAGAGACAAAACGTTAGTTGGTTTTCGCGTTTACGTTTCGATTGTTTGAAATTTATAAATGAAAAGTTTTATTGTCAAATGCTGTCAAAGCAATACGCAATACGAGTTGCAATAAATGAAAGTCAAACGGGTCGACACCGATATAAGCAAAGTCATCTATCTCTCTTAACTAAACAAACAAACAAAACAAACAACAAGAACAAGAACAAAACGATGACGATGATTTTTTCGTAAGCAATTTTAAGATGAACGATGATGATGTATTTTTAAAAGCGTTCCTTTCCAACCCTCAGCCCTTAAAAGTGAATAAACTAAGTAAATTTTTACTAAAAAGCAAAAAAAAACGACGAAAGAATCGAATAATTCGACGTGTATAGAAGCTGGGTTTGCGTGGGTGCTCCTCCCACTGCCGGGCGGAGTAACATCGCTCACCTCGGTCAAGCCCCGCCCGGCACATGGGACACGCCCCTCTCAATGCACCCACATTAAAAAAAGATACATATGAACACAACTAATATGAACAAAATGATGGCGTGCGCATAATGAGAACCGAAAAATAATTAACTTAAACGGTGCGCACTAAAAATTCGTATATTGAGTAATTACAAATTACAAATCTATTTCTATGATATTCATATTATAATAATAATAATACTAATAAATAAAATAAAACACAAAACAAAAAAAAGAAGAAGAGAATCTCGCATTTCCATTATTATATAAATAAACATAAAATAAAATTCGAGGATTAAACGTCTCTCCCGGCGCGCCCCGCCCCCGTCCTCTGACCCCGCCCCCTGCCCCCAAAACAAACCTCACTCCCACCCAAAAATGATGATAAGCTGAATTAACTTGTAAGTAACTGACGATTGATGAGGAATTTTAAAGTTGAACAACAACAAGCGCACACACAAAAACAAAGAACAAACAAAAACAAAAAGAACGACAATCCATAACGGTCGCTCCTTTCCTTCTATCTCTCTCTAACTAACTCTCTATCTATCTAACACACAAACGGAAACAAAAGCGGGACGGATAAATAAATAAATACGAACAAAACAAGAAGATGATGAAGAAAAAAACGCACTGCGCTTTTGAATTCGAGTCAATTAAGAAATTTCGCTCTTTATGTATATTAAGAAGTTTCCTAATTCGATTGTGACTTTGAAAGCTAAGCAAAACCACCCTCCACGCTCACACAAACAGAGTTTACCGAAGAAAACCGCAACAAAAAAAATTAATTATTGTAAACAGATTGATGAAGGAAAAAGTTAACAGACAAAACCAACACAACAACATGAATAAACTATAAGCGACGGCTTTGTTTTCTACTGAACATTACAAAAAAAAATCGCAAAAAACTATGAAATGAAAAATTGAAAAAATTGTTGTAATATCGTGTCAACCAATGGATTGTACTTTGTTAAAATGAATTATATGAATTAAACAATAATAAGACGTGTAAAAAAAATGCCGCAATATGATGACACATGAATTAATCTCTTGGGTAGTTTATTTAATTTTTCCCTTTGCTTTTTTTGGAGAAAAGAAAAATAGAAAAACATCCCTTTTGCAGGAAACTAGATCGAAATGAAAGTGTTACAAGGACGTTGCGTTGTTTTGTTCTTATTTCGGCCCTGATATACCACGTGCACGCTTGCGCTGCTGTTTTCTACACGATTCGAGAGCAAATCGATATGAATATCTTGGGTTTGGACCCTCTTGAGTCTCAATACGTTGAAATACTGCCATCTAGTGTTAAAAACACCAAGTTTATTATAAAGGGGGTGGTGTCGCAGTTTGGCGGCGCTCGACGCGCTTCCTGCCGTCCCTGCCGCCTCTCACTAGTCGTGCGAGTCGTCGCTGCCCTCCGAACGTAAAACCGCACTCGTATCGCTCCAACATCCACGAAACGCAAAACAACCCTTCTGATAATAAATAAATACGTAAATAAGTCGCAAGTCTAACACGCCGTGGGCTAGTTAAGTGGGTTTAACTATTATATTTGGGTCTGTAGCTGTGGGTGGTGCTTATGGCGAAGAGGGTGTGTGCGCGATGTGTACGCTCAACATGGTGACATGGTGGTGATGTCGTGAGGGACAAAACGGTGGGATGTCGGGATGATTATTGCTGCGTGTGTGTTGTGTGGTGGTTTGGTGTTTGACCCAGTGGTTTAGAATTTAACCAGGATGGCGGCGGGTCGCTCGCGCCTCATGTCGCTGCTTGTGCTACTTACAGCACTGGTTTTCACGGGTAAGTGTAAAAAAACCACCAAAACATTAAAATTTTTAGTCCTTGACGGGACCAAAGTATTTAGGACCCTTTTTCTAGTAGTGTATGTGTGGTATCTCTGTTGGGCACACCCACTGCCACATGTAAACACAGCCCCTCCCCTCTGATCCGTAACAAAGACCATGAAAGGTTTCGTGTTCTATGGTAAACCCACTTTTACCAAAATATCCCCGCTTTAATCCCTGCAGTTGATTAAAATATCAATTTCCTACTAAAATCCTGTTTGCCCTATTTGGGTTTGAATGAATGTGGTTTAATTAGGTCACACTGCGTTTTTTTAGGAAAATGTTCTGAAGATGAAGAACGCCTTGTGAGAGATCTCTTCCGAGGCTACAATAAATTGATTCGGCCCGTGCAGAACATGACCGAAAAGGTCGACGTGCGTTTCGGGCTCGCCTTCGTGCAGCTCATCAACGTGGTAAGTAATCGTAAAAGCCCAGTCGTAAAATTTTTACATCAATCACATTCCCCGATTGCGATCAGAACGAGAAGAATCAAATCATGAAGTCGAACGTCTGGTTGCGACTAGTGTGGAACGACTACCAGCTGCAGTGGGATGAAGCAGACTATGGCGGAATTGCAGTGCTACGTCTCCCGCCCGATAAAGTGTGGAAGCCAGATATTGTCCTCTTCAATAAGTAATATCTCCAATTAAAATCAACCCCAAAATACTGATTTTTTACCATTTTAGTGCTGATGGTAACTACGAGGTGCGATACAAGTCCAATGTGTTGATATACCCTAACGGAGAAGTACTGTGGGTCCCACCTGCTATTTACCAGAGTTCTTGCACCATTGACGTCACCTACTTTCCCTTTGACCAGCAGACCTGTATCATGAAATTTGGCAGTTGGACCTTTAATGGAGACCAGGTCTCACTGGCCCTGTACAACAACAAAAACTTTGTTGATCTCTCTGATTACTGGAAGTCTGGTACCTGGGATATTATAGAAGTACCCGCTTATTTGAACATCTACGAAGGGAACCAACCTACTGAGACGGATATCACGTTCTATATTATTATCCGCCGCAAGACACTCTTCTACACGGTGAATTTGATCCTGCCGACAGTGCTCATCTCGTTCCTCTGCGTGCTGGTATTCTACCTGCCGGCGGAAGCTGGCGAAAAGGTCACGTTGGGTATTAGTATTTTGCTGTCACTGGTTGTGTTCCTCTTGCTGGTATCGAAGATCCTGCCGCCCACGTCGCTCGTGCTGCCGCTCATCGCCAAGTATCTCTTGTTTACCTTCATTATGAATACTGTCAGTATTCTCGTCACGGTGGTCATCATCAATTGGAATTTCAGAGGGCCAAGAACCCACAGGTATTTATTATATTTTCTGATAACAAAGACTCAAAAAAATAAGGGAGAAAAGAAGAGCAGGTCCTAGATCCTCTCTCTCTCTTATCTAGGTGTGCCCCTTCGCAGTATATCTCACTATCTTTTCATTGCTTTCCAGAATGCCTTCGTGGATCCGCTCGGTATTCCTCAATTATCTGCCAGCAATGCTACTGATGAAACGACCGAGAAAAACACGCCTCAGATGGATGATGGAGATGCCCGGAATGGGCGTCCCTCCTCATCCCTACGGTTCGCCAGCAGACATTCCCAAACACATAAGGTCCGCAGACATGTCAAAACTTATTCAGACAACTTTCTAACTCTTTGCCTGATTTGTTTGACCCACAGTTCCATCGAATCGCAAAGCAAGGTAGAGGTGATGGAGCTATCCGACCTGCATCATCCCAACTGCAAGATCAATCGCAAACTCAATTCGGATATAGGCGTCGGCGTCGGCCCGGAAAGCTGTCGACGCGAAAGTGAGTCCTCCGATTCAATACTACTCTCTCCGGAAGCGTCCAAAGCGACGGAAGCGGTCGAATTCATCGCCGAACACTTACGCAACGAAGATCTTTATATACAAGTAGGTGAAACCCATATGGGTGATGATAATGTCAATTTAAAAAAATGAATTTCAGACACGCGAAGACTGGAAATACGTAGCGATGGTGATCGACAGACTCCAGCTGTACATGTTCTTCATTGTGACGACGGCCGGCACCGTCGGTATCCTCATGGACGCACCACACATCTTCGAGTACGTGGATCAAGATCGCATCATCGAAATCTATCGCGGAAAGTAAGCGCAGTGTCGCAGCAAGTGGGTCATACGGCGCCGCGCGCGTCAATCTCTTTCTTTATCTCGCGCCCCGACAGATCGATGCCGAGTGCACTTCCTGCACCACAACCGATAAGCGAAATAATCACACACGCGCTTCCAATGCGAGAACGCAACCACCAAAGAAAAAAAATCGTCAAGTGGCCAAAAAATGAACTGAGATGTAAAAAAACAAAACAAATAATGTACTTGTCTTCGCACGAGGCGCGCGTTCGTTAGTTGAATTGACTAAAATATAATAATCAATCAAATGCCAATGCCAAAATATTATTAAATTTACTACTAATGATACGGAGCGATCAATATTACGACTAGTTATGGTAAAAGATAAAAAGCAGACCGAAAACATTCAAATAATTTATGTTTTCTCGTTATTTTCGTGTGTAAAAACCCGCAAAAAACGTAACAAATTGGTTGACTAGCCGAGTGACAATCGTCCCACAAACAATAAATTAAAACCCGATCTATTCAGTTAACAATTTTGAATAAATTTCAATGCAAAAAGAGCGAATAAACGGAACAATTGCCATCTAACTATTACGTGTAAGTTTAAGTTTTAGAGAGACTAAAAATTAATACCGGAATAATAAATAAAGTAACCCGATAAAACACAAACACACAAACATTAAATATTAATAATAAATAATAATAAAATCTAATATAAAAATAAAATAAAACTGGTATAAAAGTTGTTAAAACGCGATTATACACAGCGCTGTTTTCAAAAACGACGATATTGTTATGTAATTAATAAAAGAAAAAAACAAATAAAAATAAAACTAGGGCGCTTCCATCAAAGTTACGCTATCAGGTTCTTACCGTCACTAGTTGCGCAAAGAAATTGATGGAAGCAAGCGAGCAACACTGTCATTTGTTAGATTAGAAGAAAGATATTGTTTCAATTTTGGGCAGTGTTATACCGTAACGCATATAAGTTATTATATGTAACTGTATGTATAATTCTATTGTCAAATTGTAACACTAATCGTAGCGCCCACAACATTAACTGGCGTATGAAAACGTAAATTTACAGTTTACAGGCATCTAGTGACACCAAAAAAAAAAAACTTAATTTACTTTGTACATAAAATATAATACCGATAACACGCAGCTAATACGCGAACAAAGGAAGAATAATGAATAAAGTCGTTTGTACTACTTGTATAAAGTATAAAAGTAAAAACTATATATTGAAAGGAAAACAAAATGAAACCTAGTTAAGCGATTAGATGATAAACGTAGCCGATAAATAAGCGGATATGTAATATGCAATATACGACGATAAGTTGTTGCCAACGATATCTACTTTAAAAACAATTGTGTCATGGATGCAGAGGATGTAATAAAATACACCATAGGAATTGACTTTCGATTTACAACCAAATTCTATTATCATTTGTGATGTGTAACGAAATCTAGACGAGTTAGTATCTGTGCAGAATAGTCTTCCATTTTGCGTTTGGGTTTTGAGTTTCGTTCGATTGCTTAAATATACGTCACTTACTTGTAGGTGAAGTGGAAATCTCTTATACTTCAAATGCGCCGAGTTCAATCTAACTGTAACATGAATGTAAATGAACGCGTAAACTTAAACAATGATTGTGTTTTACTTACAAGTTGAAGATTTTTCAGAGCAGACACACACACACAACACACTCACAAACAATTGAAATTCTACCGTATAGCACTGCCTACCGACGCTTGGAGACACATATTGACTATTAAATACAATAATCAATTATCTGTTAATAAATGAGACAAAAAACTAATGTTGATGTACCAGACAGATGCATTTACAATAAAATATCGCAGAATATTCGATTGTTTACTTCCCGAACCGCAAACCGCACTGAGAATTATTTTGCATGTTTGTTATAACCTAGAGGGAAGGGGATGATAAGGCGCGAGAAGACGGACATGCGTGTTGCAGACCTGTTCAAACAAGTTGCATATATCAAAATAAATCGCTATTTATTTATGAAGAGTGAAAATGTTATGTGAACAACGAAATCAGCATTAATAAACTGATAAAATCCACGACACATATGTTTAATAAAGCTACAAAAACCATCCGTTATCAAATATAATCTATAGATACGAATCTGTACATTATATCTAGTCAATTATTTAATTACATATTGCATCTAGCGCAATTCAATAGGCAATAGTCGAAGTAAAAAAGTGTGATGTCAAGTTACCAATATTGAACTAGAACACTATACGCATAGAATTGCAAAATTTCATTTTGCAACAATCACAGAAGAACCAAAAACTTTTCTGCCATTTTCCCAGTTTTTGTCGAGTTTTACCAAGTGCAAAGATGGAATGCCATACAAATAATCAGCGATAGCGAGTTGAGGAAAAGAAGAAACGATTGCAATTAATTTTAATAATACTGGAATTTGTTGACTAACCATTTTGTTCGTACCGGCAATAATAGTGGGAGAATAACAATAAATTATTTAAACTTAGCCGATAAAGTTAAACTTTAACCTAGCAATATTCTGCTTTCAAATGAACACATCTCGTAAAATTAAAAATTATAGTAAATTGAGCTATCAATGAATCAATGCTTCATTTTGTGCAGCTTGAGGATTTTACCCAAGCGTTGTTTCGCTGTTTTCATACCTTTTTTACTTCGTGGCGTCGTAGGTGTTTCTGCAATGTTTGCGTGTTATTATTTCAAATAACTACACAAACCTAAAGAAATTTTTAAAAATAGACTTACGTGGTGTTGTTGGCGTCGCTGGTAATTGTGTCGAAGGACCAGGTACAATCGGAATACTCGTCGTTGGTATTTGTTTATCTACTAATAACAATTTCGGTGGTTTGGGTTTCCTCCGATTTTTATTTCGTTTTGCACTCTGAAAATAAAGCTATATTTATTGTTTTATTAGCTGGTGTGTTTTGTTGTTACTTTATTTGCCGAAGAAGGTGATCTCTTTGCAGCTGCCTCGAGTACTTTCTCCACAGCCTGTTTCTTGGTGCCCTCGCGGGCAGGACGGTTCATTTTGGGCAGCAGAGGCCCAACACGAGCACGAGGACTCCATGATTGATCAATACCCATTGGATTGTATATATCATCGTCTTCAATCGATGGGTAAACTAAAAAAAATAACAAATTTTAATCAATTTTACTCAAAATTACAAACAATTAACATACTATAATCTTCATCCTGGTGCACGTCATGCAATTCTTCTTCATCCAGTAAATTCTGATCACTGACACGTTTTTTACTTTTTGTTTTCTTCGGTTGAACAAAAGTCTGACTGATTGATAACATCCCAGCAATGGCTTCCTGTGTTGATGGAGATGTTCTACCTTGATCATTACTAAAACCGAATATACCTGTATTAGATAATAATCTATTTTTAAATAGATGACATTTACGTGTCTATGAATTTCGTCGCTAAAGCTGAAGCCTTTAAAAGAGATTCTATTCCGTTTGCTCGATTATCTTCATCAACAAGCATTTTCTGCGACCAATCAACCGTGGATTTTTTCTTTTTAGGTTGTGGACTTTCATCGATGTATAAATGCATCGATTCATCAAGTGAATCGTCATCCTTAAAATCATAAATGGACTTTTGTGGATTTATTGTGGTATTGTCCATAATTGGTATAATATCCTTTGTTCTAAAAACAAACATTAATCTCCATACACAAATTATTATTGAAAAACCTACGCCAGTTTAATTTTTAAAACAGTTCCACCTCGATGCACAGCTGTGGCTGTTTCTGGCATGTCTTGTTGTGGTATAAAATACGGTATTGGCTTCTTTTCTGGAGATTTTATCGGTGGCAGTCGTACCCGAGGTTTTGGCGCTGCTTTTTTTACGGTTTTCACTGGCATTACTTCAGATTTTTCAAGAAACTAAAATGTACCTCATATAAACTACTATATCAACTTTAATTTTAGTTTATTTACATCTAGTGACGTTTTCTTGAAAGGAAAATCAACGAAATCTTTATTTATCGGTCGTTTACGTGCCCGTTTCGATTCGCGTTCTGGTTTTGGCGGATTCAAGGTGTTTATAAGTCTCTCGGCTGTCCGCACCTCCTTGGAAATGTCTTTAAACAATTTAGCAACACTTATTCCCATTGGAATCTGATCCTTCGATGTTACAATCATCTAAAACACTTTGTTATTAAAATGTCCACTGGAAACATGCAAACATTTATTACATCTTTGTCTGTGCTCGTATTCCATGATTTTAAATACGTCACAAGTGTTTTAATCCCTGATAATAAAGAATCTGGACATTTACCTCCTTCTGCATTCAGTTTCTGTATTTGGCTGAGCATTTTTTGAGCGGCAAACCAATGAATCGTCTCAAAAAACGGGTATAAAAACTTAACAGCCGTTTTTACCTTCTTTTCTATATCGTAAATCCTAGAAGCAGATGGTACACTAATAGAAATATGATGTGTCAGTAATTCTTACTGTAATTGCATGGAAATATTTAAACTATTGAGAAAATTCCCGCCGAAAACTAAGGAATCCTCAGGTGTGAGAACAGCGTGAATCCAACCGGTTGGTATCATCATTGTTTGGCCAGCGCTCAGCACACATTTAAAGCATTGATCGACCTGATCACCGAAAAATGTCTCACTTTGATTACTCGACGTCATCCACTGCTGATAGAGTGTGAGATTGGCGGGTGTCGGTTTTATTAAGTAGAAGATTTTCTGTCCTCTAAGTACGTGATACCATACGCTTGTTCCGCCGAAATCTATGTGGAAATCTGTGTAAGAGTCTTTCACGCTCATGAGGCAATATTTTTGCACACAAAGCTGATCGAAGGCGTATTCTTTCGGCCATACTACATTCGCCCAGTCCAGTTGGCGTGCAGCCAAAGGCGCATCGACCAATTTCGACAACCTAGAACATTTACAAGTGAAAATGTTGTTATTTTATGTGTTTTATAACAAAATTCTTACCCTGTTTTAGAAAATTCTAAACTAACAACATTATAAACCTTAGTTCTATTCATTGAATAAAAATATTTAACAAAATCAGTCAGTTTCATCTTCAAATCTGACTGCCTAACTACATCAATCACATCCATTTCATGGTCACCACCAACATAATTCTCAACATCATATAAAGTAAAGTCTGTTGGTGGCACAATCATATCCAATCCTTCCTTGTTGTCAATCACCAGTGGCACATCAAAGCCATGCTGCATGAGATATGCCTCATTCAGCATGTGTCCTTTAAGATGTATCACAATCTCATCTGCATTATTGAAGTGTCTTGCTCGGAGTTCTTTTATAAAGGTGACTGTGCCTGTTTGTACTGGCTTGTGGTTGGCATTCTCCTCCCAGTATTCATGTCTGTGGAAATTCTTGTATGGCTTGACTGCAAACTAATGTTTTAGCACTTTTATAGTTGTGTAAAATGATTGTTTGTTACATTGTGATGGACCATAGTCATCTGCACACCTGGGACAGTGATATTTGTCTATTTCAGGCGCTGTTTGTTCTTGAAAGCCCGTGCATCTAAAACAAAAGCAATTAGTTGTTTGGAATGTGAAAGAATTATTTGTGGTTGTTGGTAAACAAAGAAATAAACAAATAAAAAGCGTATAGGTTAGAATAAGAAAGTTTTGTGTATTGTATGAAAATGAAGCGATGAAATTGTCAAATTGTTACCCGCTGTGAAACCAGTCCTTGCACACATCACACTGGATCATGAACACGTTTGGATCGTACCGCGAACCACACAAACAATACGCTTTTTCAAGTTCCATTTCGTCTGTTTGTGAAGCTTCAATCCTTGCAAATAACGAAACAGTATTGTACGCCGGCGCCATCTTGCTTTCTAAGATGTTTTGGTTGCATAGCATGATTGCTCAAAATGCCACCTAAAATTATAAATAAATCTTTTAAATGTATATGAAACATTATTTCAATTAATTTAGATAATATTAAAATTAAGTAAATACTCTACTTTTGTCTAAATAAATAAATAAATTTATATATTTGTTTCTGTAAAATTTGTTGCCTAACATGAATTGGCAAACAAAACATAACCGAGATTTTTTTTGGCGCGAATAGTTTTCAAACGTCATAGAAATTTGCTACGAGGAAATCATCTAGTTTAAGCTTTCGTTTTGCATTCATTTTGTTGAGAAATAAGAAAATGACAAAACGAGCGTTGTTTTTAATTATTACCGGGAGATTACAACATGCAGCAGGTGAGGGCGAGCGGATATTACCTCATTTATAAACGTTATAAAAGAGCAAACTTCCGGTTGCACCGTCCGCTTTATAACCACGGCGACAACCACCCTTGTAGCGGTTTTGGCGGCGGCGGAGGCGGCAACGAAAGGGTAAGAACACGCGCTGGCGTTAATTATTGTGCGCGAGCGAAAAAGATACAAGAATCGCCTTGTATCGCGATGCGTCTTTACGAGGAAAACACGGAAAGCAGCTTCGTCCCCTTTTTACACCGGTACACTAAGCCGCAATGCAAATTATGAAGTCATTTTAATACGCATAAAGGTAGACAACTGAAGGGTGAGCGTTGCTTAGCTGTTAAGTAAATCAGCACGCGCGCCCAAATTTTCCGGCTTTCAGGGATTTAATATTTCGTTAATGATTTCAAGCCCGTTAACGAGCTTTTGGTCAGTTTGTTGTTGTGTAAACATTGATATGCAAATACAGAATATTTCACATAATACGTCACACCTCATGGACCAAGACGGAAATCTTTGCTCGCAAGTTGTTCGTATAAAGATGTGATTCACGTGTCGAAGCACAATAAGGGAGTGAGTATATCGTGCGGTCGAGTGGCAGCGTTCCTTCAACGGACGAGTGGATAAGTGGTTTTGGTTGTATTCTTTCTTTTGGGCGCGCGCGAGTTTTTCCATTTCCAGCAAATAGCCCGGTAAAAGGACCCCGGATGCGGTGGCAATCGACCGTGAACGCTCACTGATCAAGTGCTCGCAAAGTGTCGGGGCTAGTTTTTACACACACACACAACTTTCTTGCCAGATTCGCGCGCAGTTGCACGCCAAATGAGTTTTAGTTTTAACTTCACTTCGATGTTCGAATGCGAATGTAATCGATTCACCACGTGTGTGTCGCCTTCCAGGGGTAGAAACCCTTTAATAAACACGCTTTGGTAATCAACCTGATGCAATTAGCAGCGCCGGCGGCGCATCCAGGACGTCTCGGCGTAATGACAGATATCTAAGTAACCATTACACTAATTGTGCGGCGCGCGTCATCAACGTCTTGTAACAGGTGCGGTCGCTTAAGCACCACGTAGCAAACTTTGAATGCAAAGCGACCAAATTGTGTTTTGGAGGAAGATGACAATTGTTATTCTTATTTTTGCGCTTGTAAAGTTTGATATTTCATTAGGGGCGATAGTTTTATGGCCGCTGCAGTCCGACGCAGTCGCGCAAGCACCCATTGAGGGTGTTTTTTATTATTGCGGAAATCTTCAATTTTCCACGATCGTTTATAAAAGATATTGGCACTTTTGGGTGCAAAAATCCACAGAGACGTATTTAGCCTGTTTTTATTGTTACATTTGCTGCAAGATTGATGACACGATATAGAATATTATCCGTTTCTGTATCTGTGTCTGTATCTCGCTCCTTGAAGCTCTCCCAGCACGGGAAAGCTCTCGTCGAGTACATAAGATTAATAGTAGGCTTTGTTTATCCTATGTAAATGCTATTAGCGCATTTACGCCGCTGTGTGCTTCAGCATTTATTCGCCACTCGGAAGAGGAAGATTCCCCAAGTGATTTATCATGCATTGCTAATTATCATAAGATGTATTCAGCGCGCAAATGCTGTAAACTGCTGTTTTCCGCGCCCGAAATAAATCGCAGCCGCGCGCGGCTTTAATTGAATTAATTACATTGTGTTAATTACGGTTGGCAGTCGAAGACGCTCATTCCTCCGCACCCCTCGGTCAATTCGCATGGAAATGGCCACATCGTGACGTTCCTTGTCGATTCTTAGCGCATGTTCCTGCTCGATTAGGTAAATGAAGAGATGGCCAAGAATACGCCTATCGTGTGTTCGTGTGTCCGACGTAATAAATGCGTCGGAGACCGGCCCATGAAAGTTTTAAGTTTGCACACGACATCACAAGGGGTGAGATGCTGCTGATGGATATTGAATTTCTTTGCCAGACGGGGGCAAATAAAAAGCGCGCTGGGGAATGATTAAAACATGCCTACAATGTATCGGAAGGTGATCCGTGCGCGCAGGGATGGATTTCGAGTTGTGTTTCTTTTTTGCGAGAGAGCATTGGGTCTATAATTCATCAGGAATCGGAAATCCGCAAGCTTATATAGGTATATCTGTTGGGCAGAACTGTGTTTTCAATTTGGCGAGAGCAAACGGAAAACCTTTCACACCCTCGAATAAATTAAATATTCGAATACAAAACTAAAGTGGCTGGCGTGCAGGGCGCGATATTATTTTTACCCTTTGGTGCGAGGAATGCTAAATCAACCACCTCGCACACTCAGCCCTCTGGAGTGGTCTTCATTCCAGCGAAGGGAAAAGAATGTTAAGAGTAGCAGCTTTAAATTTCTGCGTTCGAGTGTTGGCTGCTGCTGCTTTTTTTTTCAAAACTGGCTCAGGTTATGGGGGTGGATTTGAAAGGAAGCAACGTATCGTAAATGTGTAACTGTCACTAGTGTCAGAAACACAGAATATTTTACATTGAAATAATTTTATCTCGCAAGATGTGCGCGCACGGCGATTATCGTCGGATCCGATCGTATTACTCATCTAAGGGTGGCGCGCATTTAAATGAAAGCCGGACTGACCCCTTCCGGTCAGCGTGCGAGTGAGTTAAATGGATGGAAAACGAGCGGAAAACCGTCGGAACAAATTGGAACAAAACGTGAGGCGCGAGGTAAGGAATTGCTGGCGATTAATTTTCGAAAATTAATTTCCTTCGAATGCATATGCACACATGGTGCGTACGGACAATATTCACGGTCAATGAAACCCCAGCAGGCGTAGTAAGCAAGAAAATACCCTTATAATTTTTCTTGGTCGCCGCCGGGCCGTGAAATGAATTGTTTTGATGTATTCGGCAGCTTATTGTGTCGCTTTAACGGAGCATCATTTGCATTTTGTCATTCGCGCTTCGCTGCTGATTTATCGTTTGATTGCGGCGCGACTGGAGGAGCGGCGGTGGCGGCGGCGTTGGAGCCGAACGCCATCGGTGGTTTTCCTTCACTCTTTCTTTCTACTTCTGCTCGCGTGTATCGGCTTATTTTGCGCGTGGAGGAAATTTTAAAGCTGTCGGAAAATACAATTTGTTGGATGAATGCGTCGCGCCTTTCAGCTTAATGATTATGATTATAATCGGCCCCGCTTTTATGTTCGTACAGATATAGCAGTCAGCTTACTATATTTGACTAAGACAGGACGGCATGTGTGCGTTCAGTCACAGTCACAGCAGCCGCCGCCGCTGCCGCCGCCAATTCTATTAGCTGGATTATCGCGACGTCGAGTTTCGGGAGTTTTGCGCGGCGCTAACCAAAGTCTGGAGGGTCGAGTGGGCGCATTTGTATTCTGGCTGCTTGCCATACCTCTTCCTCGAGCACCTTTTCGCGGCCCGTAATAAATTTGCAATAATCTGCATCGTATCACGGCGGAGTGAATGCGAATTTCGCCAAAATTAAAAATTCTTTCTTCTTTTGAATTGACTGTGTTGCAAACGCAAGTATTTCGCACCTGCACACCCCATACGTATCGATAGATGAAGCCAATAGCGCCTGGGGAATCGCAATCACATCTCCTTCACGGGGCGCAGCGTAATCGCCTCGTTCTTTGCACCCTCCGTTTTTACACACTCGCAAGTCAAGTGCGCAATGATCACCGCACACGAAATAAGCCACAATTCAAAAATAAAAATCCTAATAAGTAATATTAACATTTTCGCAAATGAATCAAAACTACGACCACCTTATTCCACTTTAATGAGTTTAATGTCATTATTCTTACTTTACGTGCGCATCGATGTGGAAGCGAATGCCGGCAGACGGCGGGATAAAGCAGGAGACTGAAGGGAGGTTGCTCCTACCGCGAAATAAAGAAGCAGAGAGCGTTTAAGCAAAGAGAAGAAAGCGGCTATTGTTTCCCGCTAAACGTGCGATTCCTGATTGAACGCGAGCTGATAAACTGCCTGCGCTTGGATCCCACCCTCGGCTCGAACTGTCGATATCCGGCAGGCACCTCCTTGGGTTTTATTTAAATGCGGGCCTTAACGACGAGACACCTATCAGTACAGTTAGCGCGCGGCTTCGTTTATGCGTCGCCTCTTCGCTTTTGTTTTATTTGCCCCGAGTACAATTTATCCACGCAGCCGCCAGCGCACTGGATTACGTAATCCGCAATCGCGCGAGTTGAATCTCGTGGGGTATTAAGGCTCTTGGCTCTTTTATTTTACTTTATTTCGAATCACAATTCGAAGCACTTCGATGTGCCTCCTGCCACGTGCTGTGTGTCTTTTTTCCACCCTCTGGCGCAGCGATAACATACGGCCATCATAAGGTTTATGTTGGCGATTTGTTGCGGACACAAAAAAGAGAATAGATACGGTGTGGTCAAGATGGATGCGTGAAGATTCCGCATGTGTCTGTTTCATTACGTCCAGTCGATGTATTCGCATTATCGCTGGTTCTGCTGAATAAGCAGTAAATATATGCTACAAGAAAATGAAAATATTGCACTTGCAATATGGAAAAATATGAAATCTTGGTGTTTGGTTGAGTTTGTGAGGAGATAACATGCCAAAGCGTGGTCGTGTAATCGAAGGCTATTGATGGCTATTGATTGCGGTCGGA